TTAAAGGAAAATCAAACGTGGGATTTGGTAAGTCTTCCAAAAGGTCATAAGGCAATACCATGCAAATGGGTCTACAAGGTAAAACACAATCCAGATGGTTCTGTTGAACGTTTTAAAGCCAGGCTAGTGGTAAAAGGTTTTTCTCAGAAAAAGGGAATTGACTATGAAGAAACCTATAGTCCTGTAGTCAGAAGTTCAACTATAAGAACACTATTAAGTGTTGCTGCAAATGAAAAGATGTCACTCATGCAGTTTGATGTGTCAACAGCTTTTCTATACAGCAAACTAGATGAAGATATTTACATGGAGCAACCTGAAGGTTTTAAAGATAATTCAGGAAGAGTCTGTAAACTCAAGCGAAGTCTCTATAGACTTAAACAAGCTCCAAGATGTTGGAACAAACGCTTTGCTGAATTCTTGAGAAAAAGACATTTCAAACAAAGCGATGCAGATACTTGTTTGTTCATTAGAATACAGGGAGGAAAGAAACTCATACTTGCACTGTATGTTGATGATGGACTAGTTGCAGGAACCGATAAAGAAGAACTAAAAATATTTGAAAAAGAATTAAAGTCAGAGTTCAAAATAACATCTAAACCTGCAACATATTTCCTTGGATTAGAGATTAATCAAGATGAGAAGGGAAATATTAATGTCAGTCAGTCATCGTATACAAGAATGATTCTTGAAAAGTTTGGGATGAGTCAGTGTAAATCCTGTACAACTCCGATTACAAAATCTGAGGAGTTCGATGAAAACAAAAATGAACATGAGGAAGTGAAATTTCCTTACAGATCAGCAGTTGGTGCATTGATGTACTTGATGACGGGAACAAGACCAGATATTGCATATGCAGCTGGAGTAGCATCCAGAAGTTTGGAGAAACCCAGCAAGTCCAATGTAGCACAAGTCAAGCAAATTTTCAGATATTTGCAAGGCACAGCTGATGTCGGTATTGTTTACAAGTCTGGTCAAAACAATACACTTATAGCCTACAGTGATGCAGATCATGGAGGAGATAAATCTAGTAGAAGATCGACATCAGGTGTAATCTGTATGTTTGGAGAAAGCGTGATCAGTTGGTTTAGCCAACGTCAACCCTCAGTTGCGATTTCAACTACTGAAGCAGAAATCGTTGCCGCAAGTGAAGCAGCTCGTGAAGTGATATGGCTCAAACGATTGTTGAACGACATCGTAGATCTAAAGAAAAAGCCAGAAATTTTTGTCGACAATGAAGCAGCAATTCGTTTAGCACACAATCCAGAACTTCACAGAAGAACAAAGCACATCCACATTAGACATTTCTTTGTCAGAGAAAAAGTTGCAGAAGAAGAAGTTTCAGTTGAACGAGTTGCGACAGAACTTCAAGTTGCTGATGCTCTGACAAAACCAATGGTAGGACCAAGACTAAAGAATCTGATGTGTGCGATGGGTCTTCAGAACATTTAGGTTAAGGTCATCTAATATTTTAAATAAAATGAGAAGGTGTTAAGTTTTATGTTTTATATTAAAACATTATGATTTATAATATACATTTATTTTTCTTTGGACCAAATGTTCTTTGCTTTGTATGTAACTTCTAACTTTTAACTTCTCACTGGATAATAAACAAGTCGAGAACGTTGCTTGGTTTAGTTCTCTTCTTTTAATGTCTTTCAATATTATATCAATTAATTAAACGATCTACGTAACAAGAAATTTAACATAAAATAGTAATTATTTGTTTTTCTTATCAAAGATCTTACATTCATTATATATAATGCAATGAAGACGAGTTTTGCGTGCAGGTTGAGTCTACGTCGACAACTCATTCCAGAATATCTTGTTTGACTTGTGATGGAAATGTATACGAATACTAAGACTCTTGTCAGCACAACGTTTGGAAACACAGATGCATTTGACATCGGCGTTGGAGCCTCATCAATATATGCAAATGTATAAACAGATTCATACAACATCGACAGTGTCATTATCAGGCAGCTGCCTCAAATCCGAAGTGGTGTGTGTTTGAGAATTGATTTTTGATTACACGAATTAGGCAAATAGCTAAAAAGGTGGACCCAATAATTACATGTGCTCCGTGAAATCTTGTTGTTACGAAATAATATTCATTTGCTTGTAACAGAGCAAAGTATAGGCCCAAAGTAATTGTTAATGTTAGGGCTTAAATTGTTGATGTTCGGTTACCTTCTATAAGTCTATGGTGAGCTCAGGTAACTGTGATATCTGATGATAGTAATACAATTGTATTTAATTTGTATTTAATTGTGGTACGCCGAATTTGTTTAGTGTAGTAATACCAACTGGTGGTCAAACACATCCTAATTCTGCTGGGTACTAGACTTCTATGAAAAAATCCTCAAAAAAATCCGAAGAAGAAGCAAACTTCAGATAAAATAAATAGAAGTATGCCAATTCGTAAACCATTTACAACATAAGAGGTGTGGCTTCCTATAAGTGTGGCTTCTCGTGTAACGTCTCGCCATCATAGGTACATTGATACAATAATTAAAAATAGCCCAAGATATAGACATAAATTTCCTTTGTTGTGAAATCAACCTGCTAGTCCTATAGTTAAGGCTAAGGCACCAAATGCTGATGCTGGTCAAGGTCTTGGTTCTACTAAATGATAGGGTTGTCGGAGCAATATGATATTTAAATTAAACTTGTTACTTGGAAGGTAATTGTACTTGTTATACTAATATCATACAAGAGAGTGTTTACTCATAAGTAAATTTACAGTTTACTGTCTAAATTTCGACCATCTTGTTATCATTTTCAACTGGCTGTTTTTGATTTTAATAAGTTTTTATTGATTTGTTTTATTGGTTTATTTATAAATCACCATATGTTTGATATAATAATTACTAGTAGGAGTCATAATACAATTATAAAATTTATTCATGGTATTGGGGCAAGGTGTGGCATTAAGGTTTACCTAGATGGTGATTGTAGACTGACAGACTACTGTTATGATTTAACTAAAATCTTATGTTTTTAGTCATTTGATAAAATCTTTTAATTGGATAGCTTCAATGGCATTTGGTATAAATCTATGGTTTACATCACAAATTTCTGAGCATTGCCCATAATAAATTCCTGGCAATAACACTGTTGATTGATTTAGTCGTCCAGGGATAGCATCTATTTTTACCCCTAGTAATGGAATTGCTCATGAATGAATAACATCTGCTGCTGTTAATATAAGTCGAATATTAGCTCTTGTAGGAATAACCAATCGATTGTCAACTTCAAGTAGACGGTAATCACCTAAATTTAATTGGTCGAACTCAAGATTATGAAAGTCACTCTACTTATAAGATCAGTATCATTGATGCCCAATAGTTTTAACAGTAATAAATGGGTTAAATGATTTATCTATGATGTATAGAAGACGGATTGATAGCAGGGCTAAAAATACTAATGCAATTGCTGGTAAAATTGTTCAAATCGTTTCGATTTCTTGAGCTTCATGGGTAAATCGTCTTACATACTTATTAGAGATTAATGATGTTATTACATATGCAATTACTGTTGATACAAGTGTTATAATTATTAGTACATGGTTATGAAACAGTGTTAATTGCAATATTACTGGGGATGCTGGGACTTGTAGCAGTAGTTGTCCTCAATAAGGCATATAAGTGAGTCTATGACTTACTCCTAATTAACAGTTAGGTGCAATTTATTTGCTTTCACTTAATGGGATAGTGACAATTCCGGTTTCATCTGGATTATAGAAAGGTAGAGGTGCAATGTAGTCTACTCATTCTATTGATGCATATATGTGTGAAGATGTTACTAGTATTCGTTGGGAAGCAAATGCTTCTCATAATATATAGATAAATAGAATTAGAAATACTATAGATATAGTAGACCCAATTGATGAGATAACATTTCACATTATAAAGGCGTCTGGGTAATCAGAGTATCGTCGTGGTATTCCACTTAAACCTAAAAAGTGTTGTGGAAAAAAGGTTAGGTTTACTCCAATAAATATTAAGTAGAATTGGGCTTTAGAGATTTTTGCACTTAAACATAACCCAGTAAATAGTGGGAATCAGTGGTTAAATACCGAAAAGATGGCAAATACTGCCCCTATTCTTAAAACGTAGTGGAAGTGGGCTACGACATAGTAAGTGTCATGAAGTATAATATCTAGGGATGAATTTGAAAGGACGATTCCTGTTAACCCCCCAAATGTAAATAAAAAGATAAATCCTAGAGCTCATAACATAGATGGTGTATATTTAATTTTTGAGCCGTAGATGGTAGCTAGTCATCTAAATACTTTAATTCCTGTTGGAAAAGCAATTACTATAGTTGCTGCTGTAAAGTAAGCTCGTGTATCAACGTCTATACCTACAGTAAATATGTGATGGGCTCATACAATAAACCCTAAAATAGCAATACCTAGTATGGCATAAATTATACCAAGTGACCCAAATGGTTCAATTTTTCTGGAGTTATGGGCTACTACATGAGAGATGGCTCCAAACCCTGGTAAAATTAGAATGTAGACTTCTGGATGCCCAAAGAATCAAAATAAATGTTGATAAAGTACTGGATCACCTCCACCAACAGGGTCAAAAATGCTATATTTAAATTACGATCTGTTAGTAGTATTGTAATCACAGCAGCTAGAACTGGTAGTGATATGAGTAGTAAGACAACGGTGATGAATACTGCTCAGACAAATAGTGATAAACGTTCAATTTGTATTCCTTGTCATCGTATATTAATAACTGTTGTTATAAAGTTTAATGATCCTAGAATTGACGGTGCATCTGCTAGGTGAAGAGAGAAAATAGCGAGATCTACGGATGGTCCTGAATGAGCTAAGTTTGCTGCTAATGGTGGGTACACTGTTCATCCTGTTCCAGCACCTTTTTCCACTAGTGCTGATGTGACCAATAAAATTAATGATGGTGGTAAAAGTCAGAATCTAAGGTTATTTAGTCGTGGGAATGCTATATCTGGTGCACCAATTATTAATGGGATAAGTCTGTTTCCAAATCCACCAATTAAAATAGGTATTACTATAAAGAAAATTATAATTAGGCCATGTGCTGTAATCACACAATTATAAAGTTGATCATTACCTAAAAATGATCCTGGTTGGGCTAGTTCAATTCGAATAATAATTCTTATGGCTGTGCCGACTATAGCAGCTCAAGCTCCAAATATAAAGTTCCAATGTCTTTGTGATTTGTTGAGTAAAGTCATCGCATAAATAATGTAGAGTATTGGTGTGAATATTAGTCTAGTTACTATTGTGATAAAGATAATTTTGTCTATAGTGAAACAGTATACTATATCTTTTTTTGTTATCAAGATGTTGATACTATGATTTAAGTAAAATAGGAGAGATATACATGAAAAAATAACAATAAGAATTGCTACTTCAGGCAAAGCTGAGCTTACTGTATAGATTACTATTAGTTTTGGGACAAAACCAGATAGTGGTGGTAGATAAGATAAGATAAATAATAATATACTAAATTTTATGTTTTTTGGTATAGTAAGAATATTTCTTGATATATTTGGGTTATTATATGTATATACTTGGAATATTAAAAGATTGGGACTACTATTATAACATATATAATAAAATCGACATGATAGTCCACATCGATATGATAGTCCACAGATATGAGGAACTAGGAATTACCCTATATGCCCAATAGATGAATAGGCAAGAATTGTTTTTGCATCAGTTTAATTTAATCCTACTACACCACCAACTATAATTCTAAATAATAGAAATACAACTAATTCAATTTGATCTCTTTTCACATTATTAATTATAATTATTGCTGGGGCGACTTTTTGTCGTGTTGATAGAATTATGGCTCCAGCTCAGTCACAACATTGAAGAACTGATGGGAATCAGTAATATGAGGGGAATATTCCTATTTTAGTTATTAATGCAAATGATAAAATTATGCAGTATACATTTATCGATCCATAATTATTATATATTAAAAACCCAGAAAATAATATAATAGATGAGGCAAATGCTTGAACTACAAGATACTCACATATTGCTTCTATATTTTTTTGTTTGATAGATTTTGTTAAAAATGGAATAAATCTTAGTATATTAATTTCTAGCCCGATTCATGTACAGAATCAATTTGTTCTTGAGGCTGCTATGATTGTGCTAATAATCATGATTACAGCTGATAAGGGTATAGTTGGAGTTAGTGAGCGGATGAAAGAAATAATCATAAGGGGTTGATGGAATTTAACCACCTTAAAAAAGTTAGAAGCTTTTTATTATGCTTAAACCCTTAAGATGGCTATTAATAGAGCCTTCGTTTCATTCATGAATTAGTCCGAGTAGGAGAATTAATAAAAATAATAAAAAAATTATAATGTGCTGGAATGATAGTGATGTTGCTATTAGAATTGGGAATGGTATTAATAGTACTACTTCAATATCAAAGACAATAAAGATAATGGCTAATAAGAAAAAGCGTGTTGAAAATGGCAGACGGGCTTGATTATTTGGATCAAATCCACATTCAAATAGGGATATTTTATTACGGTCTAATTTTATTCGATGAAAGAGTAGTAGTGATAGAGAAAATACAAGTGTTGGAATTAAAATAGATACAATAAAAATAATTGTTATAATAAGCATTAATCAGAAGTATAAACTTTCATTCGATTAAAAGTCGAATGCTTAGACAAGCTCTCTGAATAAGCACTAGAAATTACTCATATTTAACGATATCAATGTTATCCGTTAGTCCGGCTTGGTGCTATGAAATTAAAATATTTATAATGGTAGTTAAAGGTAACACTAGAATTAAGACTCTAATTGAAAATGGCAAAAATCTTTTTCATGTAAGTATTATAGTGAATCATATCGCATTCGAGGAAATGAGGCTCGTACCCATACAAAAATTATAGCTACGAGTATAGTTATTAGGACTTGGTATAAGGATAAGATTTTAATTATGGATGTTAAAAAAATAGAGGTTGTCAGTAGTCTCATGAAAAAGATATTTGAATATTCTGCCATAAAGATCAATGCAAATATGCTTGAGCCATATTCAATGTTAAACCCTGATACTAGTTCTGACTCACTCTCAGCAAAATCAAATGGTGTGCGATTGGTTTCTGCCAAGTTGGTAATAAATCATAAAATGGATACAGGGAATATAATTACCATGATTGTTGTATATAAGTAATTTGATATTATAGAAATATCTATAGATATAGATACTATTAATGCGGCTAATAGGATAAGTGTTATTCTAATTTCCTATGAAATTGTTTGAGCTACACTACGTAATGCCCCTAAAAGGGCCTATTTTGAGTTTGATCTTCATCCAGCAATAAATGTAGTGTACACATTTATTGCAGAAATAAATAGGAAATATAGAATTCCAAATTGAACTCAAAATGCAGTGTTTTGATGTGGAAAGATCCTTCATATCATTAGTAATAAGAATAGGCCTATAATTGGAGCAATAATAAATGAGGTTTTATTGGCATTGGTGGGGGTTAGCTGTTCTTTTAAGAATAATTTGATAGCGTCAGCAAATGGTTGCGAAAGTCCTATGAAAATTATTTTGTTAGGGCCTTTTCGAATTTGAAAATATCCTAGTAATTTTCGCTCTAGTAGTGTGTAAAATGCTATAGCTATTAAGGCCATAAGTATTCTAATAATAAAAGATATTGAAGCTGGTAGGTTCATTAATATGGGATTTTACTCATATTTAGGGTTTAAACCTAATGCACTATTCTGCCACCATATTAAGTTATAAAATGATTCGAAGATTTATTATAGATTTTCAAAATCTTTTGCACAAATAACTGCCACTGATTTATCATCACTTGACGATTGCAAATCAACTGTTCTATAATAAGCTACATAATAGGTGAATTGTAATTCATCTAATGATCCTAAATCATTTACATTTATTTGCCAACTTATTATAGTCTATAAGTAATTTTGTTTATCCTATTATAGGCTTATTTGGGTCCTTTCGTACTACAAATAAATTTATTTTATTGGAGATAGAATCTAACCTGGCTCACGCTGGTCTGAACTCAGCTCAGGTAAGGATTTACAGGTTGAACAAACCCCCATCTATGACTTCTGCGTCATGGTGGTTCCTTAAGCCAACATCGAGGTGCCAAACAGTTTTGTTGATAAGAACTCTAAAAAATTATTAGCTTGTTATCCCTAAGGTAACTTAATCTAGTGATCAAATATTGGATCAAAAAAAGATGTATTAATCTTATAAATTTTAGAGTGTTTAATATTCCTAGGTCGCCCCAACCGAATTTTACTATAATAAGCTTGTAGTTAAAATAAAGCTCTATAGGGTCTTCTTGTCTTTCAATTTTATTTAAGTCTCTTCACTTAAAGGATAGATTTTATTTGTATGTAGGAGACAGTATTTATTTCGTTTACCCCTTCATTCTAGTTTACAATTAATAAACAAGTTATTATGCTACCTTTGCACGGTTAGGATACCGCGGCCATTAAATTTTCATTGGGCAGGGCATACTTTCAATGAGTCCTAAAAGAAATGTTTTTGTTAAACAGTCGAAATAATATTTGCCGAGTTCCTTCCATATATTTTATATAATACTAGTGTTTACAGAGTTATTATAATATTTAGTTTTATTATATATCTATCTATTTATATCATTTTATTATTAGTTATTAAAAATAGCATTGTACGATAAAGAAGTGTAAGGTGGCTGTTATTAGGCCCAATAGTGGTTATATTTATTGCATTAATTGATTTAATAATAAAACTTGTCTTTTATTATTTTACATTCTATTTTAGATGCTCTAATTTATAGTTTTTTAGTAGAAACCAGCTATATTCTTATGCGATTGGTATGTAGCCTCAGAAGATAGCTTTTAAAAAGTAAGGAAACACTTATTTATTAGTTCATAACAAGCTATTTTCAGCTCATAAAGAATTCGGGACCTTATTTTATAGTGTGACTTGTAAACCCATTATGCACAAGGTACGTTATTTACTACTTTGCAAATTTATTAGTTCCTTTAAGTACTTAATTTATTTGATTATTGTTCTTGATTTTATTTCTTTATATTTAATTGATGAGATGTTGTTTATTAGTCAAGTTAAAATAATTTTATTTTTATTCTAAGTGTAAGTTAGTGGCATTGTATATGCTATAACTTGAACAGATGCAACTTCCGTTACATCAACTATGTTACGAATTATCCTTTAAGGAGTGACGGGCGATTTGTACTTGTCTTAATTATTGATTGATTCATTATATGATCTTTATAATTACTATTAAGTTCACCTTTATAAGTTATTTATTAACTTATTTCGTAATCTTTATATAGATTGTAACTCATCTCAACCTAATTATAAGCTGCACTTTGACCTGACGTGTGATTTGATTAAAATTTTTGGTATACTCTCATAAAGGTATACTTTAGACGGCAGTACACTGACTGAGTTTCAAAATTAGGTAGCGCTTTCGTGGATTATCGAGTTAAAGGACAGGTTCCCCTAATTGAATAAGACACCGCCAAATTCTTTGGTGTTTAAACTGTTGTTCGTATTTTCCCACTCTTTTGGTAGGCTATTAATAGAAGGGTATCTAATCCTTGTTAAAATAAATAGTTTGGGTTAAGATATATTTGGTTCTATTTATGTTTTAATTAAACTTATTGGTTAATTTTATTATATCATATAGAGTTTTTATTATTAAAGGTCTTTCGTCTAACCGCGGCTGCTGGCACGAATTTGGCCGACTTTAATTATGTTTACCAATTCACATTTTCATATATTGATTAGTTCTACCCACTGTATTATTAGATTACACATATTTTTTATACTAAATCTCAAACTTTAAGTTTTGTTATACATGAGGAATAAAATAAAACTTAATAATTTAGTTAAAATCAAACTAATAATAAGGGAATTACTTCATTTTTGGGGTATGAACCCACTAGCTTTTTTAGCTTACCTTATTAAAAGATAATATATTAATATACTCTTAAATCTGCAATTTAATGTTGTTTTTCAACTATATCTTTTATAGGATTAATTCAGGTTTGGAAATCAAAAGTAATACTGGGAATAAGTGTAAAGTTAAAAGAAGGTAGTCTTTGATGTTTACTATGGGGTAAATTGATAGGTATTTATTTGTGTTAGCATGGTTAATTATAGTATACATGTATAATGAATATCCAGCAATTAGAAATCTGATCAGTCCTAGTATAATCATAGATAAATCTGAGTATGATATAATTGATGTTAAAAGTAAAATTTCTCTTATTAAGTTAATTGATGGTGGTGCGGCTATATTGATAACAGTAAAGATAAACCATCATAATGACAAGATAGGGGCAAAAATGATGGCTCCTTTTGAAATATAAATACTTCGTCTTTTTACTAAGTCATAGTTTATGTTTGCTATAATAAATAGTGCAGATGAGCTAAATCCATGGGCAATTATTATGGCTAATGTTCCCATAGACCCTCACTTAGATGATGACATTATTCCTGCAATTAATAGTTCTATGTGTCCGACAAAGGAGTAAGCAATTAATGATTTTAAGTCAGATTGGCGTAAGCAGATGATTCTTGTGACTACACCTCCAATCAATGAGATTCTTATAACAATAGATGAGATCCTTATTCTTATTCATGGGAATATTCTGGATATTCGATACAGGCCAAATCCACCTAGTTTAAGTAGAATGGCTGCAAGAATTATCCAGCAACTGGTGCTTCAACATGGGCTTTTGGTAGTCAAAGATGGGTTAAATATATTGGAAGTTTTACCAGGAATCCTATAATGCACAGCAGTCACAAGTACTTATTATAGAATGGGTAAATTAATTGTCTATGTGTTATAAAATTTGATCTATTAAAGTAATAGGTAATTATTAATAAGCATACAAGTATTGGTAGAGACGCTAGAACCGTATATATAATTAGGTATAGTCTAGCTTGTAGTCGTTCTGGTTGATACCCTCACGTTATAATTAAAATTGCTGTTGGGATTAGCGAGGCCTCAAACCACACATAAAAATACAGGATTTTGGACGAGGAAAAACATAAAAATAAGATAAAATTAAGCACTATAACAGTGATAGTAAAGTACTCCCCCTTATTTTTTGTTTGATCAATTTTGTACCTTACTAAAATTATTATAGCTGAGATTGAAAATGTTAGGATAATTAGTGGAGTTGATAATTTATCTGCCATTATTAGCCTAGAGATTATAAATCCATTATAATGGGATATATTTAGTAGTATGTAGCATGAAATTATTATAAAATTAAAAATTAATAGTGATTAGTATTTATAATACATAAATATTGCTAGTATGGTTAATAGTGGTAGTATAATTGTTAGCATTTTCTCAGAGAAATATTTTTGACTATATCATTTCCATATAGACGTACTATAACTAGTAATGTTAACCCTAGCCTAGCTTCACATGCTCCAAGGGTTAATATTACTACTCTAAATAATGGTACTGGTAGGCCTAGAGTTGAGGAGAATTGTAAGTGAGTTGAAATTCTAAATGAATAGGAAATTATTCCTATAAGATTGACCATAATAATTAACAGGAATAGTCTAGAAATTATGATAGTGTAGCCTTTAATTAGTTTACTGTTTGTTTGAGTGAGTTGAGAGTAAATTATATTTGTTGGGGTAGTTATGGTTGATAATTGGCGGTTGTTAGATACCCATGGGTATGAGAATACAGATAAGGTTAAAAAGATGAATATTGATAAAATTAATATGTTTCTTGATAGAATGTTAAATCATGATTCATAGACATCAAATGATGAAAAAATATTAGGTAGCATTCAAGATCTGAATTTAGTTCTTTTAAAACTTTGAAGGTTTTTAGTTAATTATTCCAGAATATCTTGTTTGACTTGTGATGGAAATGTATACGAATACTAAGACTCTTGTCAGCACAACGTTTGGAAACACAGATGCATTTGACATCGGCGTTGGAGTTCACCAAGGCTCGATTCTCAGTCCACTGTTATTTATAACTGTGATGGAAGAAATCACAAAGCCAATACGTGACATTTGGAATCTAATATACGCAAATGATATCGTTTTAACAGCCACGTCTAAGCAGAATGCAGCACAGATGTTTGAAGATTAGAACATCAGACTGGCTGATCATGGATTCAAAGTCAACATCAGCAAAACCAAAGCAATGAAAACTGGTGAACCCATTCAATCTACAGCTACTGGACGATGGCCCTATTCAGTTTGTAAAGCTGGTGTAGATAACAATTCAATCAAGTGTCAGCAGTGCAACCAGTAGTGTCACAAACGTTGTTAAAAAATAATTGGTAATTTATCTAAAGTGTCCAACTTTGTTTGTCCTGTTTGTATCAATCCACAACAAAAAATTCGAATTAGCAATATTTTTGAAGCCATTAAGGTAGAGAAAGTCACATCGTTTCAATATATAGGGGATGTTCTGGATTGTACTGGAACAGCGGAAGCTGCCGTTCGAGCACGCATACGTGCAGCCTGGAATAAATGGCATCTCCTTGCCTCTGTATTGATGTGGCGTGACTTTCCACTGCCACTGCGATCAAGACTTTATGGATCTGTGATGCGTCCGGTGTTGTTATATGGTGCGGAAACATGGCCAATGACAACCAAGCTGGAACAACAACTTCAACAAACCGATATGAAAAT